GATGGATGGATGGATGGATGGATGGATGGATGGATGGAAGGATGCCTATGGAGACTGATCATCATAATTAAAGTCTCAAATCATCAGTACGGTGGAAACAGTTATGAACAAACCTCCATTTCTTTTCTTCTGATGAGGTAACCTTTCCTGTAATCTTGTAAACTTTGAAAGACCTTTAAAAGTTTGAAAAACTTTGCTCACAGCCGATTGAAAAGATTTCTGGAAAGTCTGGCTCCTTAAGCTTAACTATAAAGAACGAGGGATGACTTGAGTTTTTTTTTTTCTTCAAAAACTCATGTTAGATTGTACATAACTGTAAATGTGCAACAAAAACAGTTTAACCACGAAAAGACAGTTGAACATTTGTGTGAAACAGATTTTTCTGGTTTAGTTTGGAGTTCCAATAAACACCCAAACGTGTCATTTCATAAATATATAAAAAAACACAGATGAAGCTCCACTAATGCTCCCATAATTGGAATACGAGGTCACTGAATGTATTTAAGGTGGATCATTTACTGAAAGATGATGTGTCACTACAGCAAAGTTCCTGAGGTTTACTAAATCCATGCACTTCAATTGTTTTTGTGCTCACGGTTGAACAATTTTGCCTTTAGTCGGTCTCATGTTAGCGTGATTCCTTTCAACTCCAAAATCCTTGGGTCACTTGATTTGTTCACGCTCCGCCCACTCGTGCCATCCACCAGGATAATGCTGAATGCTGAAACACAGGGTGGCAAAAAAATGGGAGGAGGAAAGTTGAGAAACGGATGCTAGAATATTTACAGTGCAAAATATTCACCAGTTCAGTGTTTCCTACTTTGTTGCCTTACAACCCAAACTTATAAGAGTTTCAGTTAAAAATCTAAACAAAATGCTTATGGGAACATAAAACATTTTAAATACCTCCACAAATATAAAACTGAAATCATCCATAGGAGTTAAATAATCTCAGTATATATTTGTTTAATCAAAGAAGCAACCAAAAGGCCAAAAATACCGCACACGGCTTTCATCACGCTGAGAACACCATCCTCACAGTGAAGCGTGGTGGGGGCAGCATCATGATGGTGTTCATCAGTAAAGACTGGGAAACTGGTCTGAGTTGAAGCAAACACAGATGGAGCAAAAAATAGAGAGAAAATCTGAGATTTGAGACTAGAGTGATGGTTCACCTTCTAGCAGGACACTGAGCCTAAACACACCACTGAAGCAACATGCCACTGGTTTAAAAAGAACCAGTCAAAAGCCAGTCCTCAGTCCAACAGATATTCTCTGGATGGATTAAAAGACGAGCAGCACTCATCCAGACAAAGAAACTGGAGCAGTTTCACCTGAAAGAATGGACAACATCTAATGTGACTACACTAAACTGTAAATTGTCTCTAGGTGGAGGTGACAGTGATTGTTGTCTTGTGTGTGTGTGTGTGTGTGTGTGTGTGTGTGTGTGTGTGTGTGTGTGTGTGTGTGTGTGTGTGTGTGTGCGCGTGTTGGACCTGCTGCCTGTTCCCAACCTCTGTGACCCCCAAAGGAAAAGCAGGTAAAGATGATGTACGTACATTATACATGTATGTTTGTATGGTCTCTCTTGAAAATGAGTTCTCGTGGCTCAATGAGACTACCTGTATCAATAAAGCATAAATGAAAAATAAAAGTACAGTGTGTACAGTGAGGAAAATAAGTATTTGAACACGCTGCGACTTTGCAAGTTCTCCCACTTAATCATGGAGGGGTCTAAAATTTTCATCGTAGGTGCATGTGCACTGTGAGAGACATAATCGAGAAAAATAAAATAAAAATCCGGAAATCACAATGTGTGATTTGTTAATAATTTATTTGTGTGTTATTGCTGCAAATAAGCATTTGAACACCTGTGGAAATCAAAGTTAATATTTTGTACAGTAGCCTTTGTTTGCAGTTACAGAGGTCAAAGGTTTCTTGTAGTTTTTCTCCAGGTGTGCGCACACTACAGCAGAGATTTTGGTCCATTCCTCCACACAGATCTTCTCTAGATCAGCCAGGTTTCTGGGCTGTCGCTGAGAAACACAGAGTTTGAGCTCCCTCCAAAGATTCTCTATAGGGTTTAGGTCTGGAGACTGGCTAGGCCACTCCAGAACCTTGATATGCTTCTTAGGTCGTTTTCACACCTGATAGTCCGGTAGACTCGGTTCGGGACCAATATTCATGACCTTTTGTTTACATTTGAGCTGGTGAGTTTGCATTCACACTGCACTGTGCAGTCGAGTCAACCTGTTGAACCAACCTATTCCCCCGCTCACCTGTGGGGGCGCTGCACCAAGAACTACTGAAAGAAACAACACAAAAACCTCTGAAGACACGTCTTCTTCTTCTTCTGTAAATAAAAATAAAAACGAAGTGGCAACAAGTTTTAGCAGTTTTAGGAGTTATATTTTGTCATTTTTCAAAAATGGACTTAGCATGAGCAGAAGATGAGACAGAAGACCATGGAGAACATTGTTTTCCACACAAGGCAGCTGACAGCTCCATATAAGGTCAGAGAAATGCATGTTTGTTTACCCTGCGGAGCGGGGTCGGTCTGTTTACATTCACACTGTACTCGAACCGCGCTGGAGTTTGCTTCTACTGGACCGAGACCTAGGTTTTAGCCCGGGCCAGAGTTCACCTTGTTGCTCCATGACAGAGTTCGATGGCGCGTTCACACCTCCCTAAACGAACCGGACTTTCTAGGAAAACGAGCTAGAGTTCGATTAAAGCGGACTAAACAGGGCTGGTGTGAATGTACGCTTACAGAGCCACTCCTTGGTTCTCCTGGCTGTGTGCTTCAGGTTATTGTCTTACATACAGTACATACTTACTGTACATACACAGTGTACATACATACAGACAGACAGATGATTATTAGATAAATGGATGGATGAACAGATGAATGGAAGGACAGACGGATGAATGCATGGATGGATGGAAGGACGGATGAATAGATTGATGGATGATGAATAGATGGATGGATGAACAGATGAATTGACAGACAGAAGGATGAATGGATGGATGATAAATGAATGGATAGATGGATGATGAATAGATGGATGGATGGATGGACAGACAGATGGATGAATGAATGGATGATAGATGAGTGGATGGATGAATTGACGGATAGATGGACAGACAGACGGATGAATGAATGATGGATAGATGAATCATGGAACAACAGGCAAATAGATGAATGCATGGATGGATGGACTGATGAATGAATGGATGCATAAATAGATGAATGGACAGAAGGATGGACGAACAGATGAAAAAGATAAATCCACGCCTGACAACAACATAAACCTTTTGACATTTCTGGTTCCAACAGAAATAATGCCACATGGGGTTTTATATTCATCTGTATATTAAATGTTTTTGAACTTGACATTAAGGTCACATTTCAGTTCACGAACAAAAACAATGATTTTATCAACATCACCTGCTGAAACTAGAGCTTTTAAAAACTCCACGTCTGGTTGAAGAGCACCACATGATGAGGCATTATGTAACCACTGGGTAAAAGATTGTGTCAGGTGATGATGTAAAGCACCTTCTACATAAACTGTCAAATCATTAACTGAGCAGCTCAGAAGTTGTTCGGTGACTGGAAGTAATACAGATTTCTGTGTTGGACTTTGAAGACGTCACTCACTCTTTATATCCCAACGAGGCGGCTGTGCTGAGAGCAGTTTTACTCCTGATCCCTGCCAGACAGACGAACACGATGTGATCTGTCTGCAGGGGCATTTCACCTCCATACCTCTCTCTGAACTCCTCTGGACCCAGCTGGAGGGCAGTGTCCATCTGTCCCACTGACCAGTAAAAAAAGACAAACTGGTCAAGGCATCTGGTAAAAAAACAAAACCTAAATATTGATGTGAAAGTCTTGTTAGTGGCATCAAAACATTAATATCTTGAACTCATCTAAGGATAATCAGCAAGTCAGGACACGTTTCTATGTGAATGGGGACTTTAGTGTTTGCAAACCATTAGGAAAGGTGAAGGTGTGGGAGTTAATGGTGCGACAACAAAGCAGAGGTTAACACTCACAGGGCACATTGACAGAGCCGGGGATGAAGCCGTACTCTCTGAGCTCCCAGGGCTCCCGGACATCTACGAGCACAGCTTTCTGCTCGGACAGGAGCCTCTTCAGCTCTTCATAACTCACGTCTGGGCTCGGTGGTTGTCGTGAGGTGAACCTGCGGAGCTGCAGCTCCGAGCCTACAACACAACACACGATCAGACTTCAAACCGCCTCGTGTTACACGAACAGCGAGCCGCAAAACTCACTTTTGTAACCTTGGCGAGTGTTGACAAAGACTCGTCCTACTGGGGAATAAGTCCCGGGCTGAACGGAACCGGACCACAAAAGTCGTGAGCCAGGACCAACCAACTTCCAGCAGCACCTTCTGAGCGCCATGTCGAATCACCCCAACCCCAAGACACACTGTGCGTCAGCTGTTCGTTGACAAGTCAGGGATTACGCTGTAAAAATGGTAGGCTTTGAACTCCTCATGACTTAACTCCGTCTGCGCGTGCGCAGAAATAGGAGCCTTCAAGGACAACATATTCAAACGTTACGCAGATATTTTGAGCAACGATTAGATAATTTATGATGCAAAGCAATATTAATCTGGTGGGAAAAAAGACAAAACAATGTCACAAACATATGGAAGTGTACTGCTGTCACATGAGAGTAAATTAATTCTGGGACTATGAGGCGTTTGTCTTTTTTTTTAACCTCAAAAGTCTAAAAATTTATTTTGTAATTTGCAACTAAAATGGCTCTCCGCTGTCGTCCTTACTTTATATATATATACATATAATAAACTTAATGCGCAATACTGCGTCTACGAAACCGAACATTTTAACTTTTGTTCGCACGTTTGAATCACAATTTTATTTATTTATTTGTACATTAATTTATGTATGTATTTCTTTGTTTTGCTTCTTTGTTTGGCTGAATACGCATTCTTAAAGAAAGTTTAATCCAAAACCTCTAGCACTAGCGCTTTGAATGAAAAAAATAAACGTTTCCAACTGCACATGAATGCATCGTTTGTCCCATCTGAGCTGCCGTAGTGCGTCACATGTTACTTGTGTGGCTAGTTAATGCTATCGACTGTTTTGACGAATTTTCTAGTGAAAAAAAGCTAAAGACAAAAACTGCTGTTATAATTATTTTTTATTTGTCGCCTCTGCATAGTGCGAAATGTCTTAATATGATATTTTATGTTTGATGAAACTCATTAACGTGTGTTTCTGTTGCGAAACCTTAATGTAGCTAGCCTGCTTGCTAGCCCGGAAGAGTTGACATCTCACTGTTTGCTTGTATCAGCTAAAACTGACAACATAAGAGCGAGTTTAAAAAGGTACGTTCATGCTGCATTTTTACTCCATGTGGGTGTTAAAACGGTTTGTTATTTTTTGGAATTATTCTAATAAATGATCCTTGTGCAAAAGCTGCACTATGATTTTTAGGCCTCTTACTCACTGCGTGTAGTGAGTATCAGTAAGATCAGTTTCTTTTACTCACTTCTGTCCTAAATTGTTTAGATCAGGTGCACGAGAATGAAACACAGTGTACACGTGCTAAGCACATGTCACATTCAGAATTTTTTTTCCAATTTACCACTTAGCATGAATCAAAACACAAATTTAATTTGTTGGCAGGGCTGTAATCTTCGTTTTATCCAGACACCAAACAGAAACTTTGATTCCTTGTTTTAGGAGATTTTCACTTGACTAAACAGAAAGTCAATGTTTTGTAGTTTATAAAAGCAGAATAAAAGCAACTTTTCGTGTATTGAAAGCATCCACCACTGGCGTGGTGCCAAAAACCTTTAAACATGCTGCTGTCCAGCCTCTCCTGAAAAAACCAAACCTTGACCCCTCAGTCGTTTCTAACTTCCGGCCTGTCTCCAAACTCCCATTTGTTTCTAAACTACTGGAGAAAATAGTCGAGTCCCAGTTGAAGTGCTTCCTGGAGGATCACGCCATCTTAGAGCTTTTCCAATCTGGCTTTAAACCTCTCCATAGCACTGAAACTGCTCTGCTGAAGGTCTTTAACAACATCTTCAGATTCACAGATACCAGTGATTCTGTGCTGCTTGTCCTGTTGGACCTCACAGCCGCCTTTGACACCATCGACCATGAGATCCTCATTGCTATGTTGGAGCAGTGGGTGGGCGTCACAGGATCAGCCCTCAATTGGTTCAGATCTTACCTCGCTGTCAGATCCTTTTGTGTCTCCATCAAGGATTTTAGTTCTGCAGAGGCAGAGCTTAAATGGGGGGTTCCGCAGGGGTCCATCCTGGGTCCCCTCCTATTCTCTTTATACCTGCTGCCGCTTGGTGCTATTTTCCGGAAACACAACATGCCCTTCCACTTCTATGCCGATGACTGTCAAATTTACTTCCCACTAAGACACAATGGTACATGCTACCGCTGCTCAACTGCCTGGCTGACATCAGGGACCGGATGGCTTTAAATTTCTTGAGTTTTAATGAAAAGAAGTCTGAAGTCATGTTGTTCCCTCCCAATGACACGATCACAAACCACTGCATCGACCTCTCCGCTCTAACCCTGTCAGAAAAACAAAGAGTCACTAATCTGGGCGTGATAATGGACCCTTCCCTGAAACTTAACAGTCACGTAAACATGATTGTTAAATCATGTTTCTTCCAACTGAGGCAGCTGTCTAAACTGAAGCCCATATTATCCAAAAATAACCTGGAGACAGTAATACATGCATTCATTACATCTAGGCTTGATTACTGCAATTCGCTCCTGTTTGGTATCAGTCAGACCTCCATTGCACGACTACAACTGGTCCAGAATGCAGCAGCCCGATTTTTAACCAGTACAGGCAAAAGAGTGCACATTACACCAGTTTTGGCCTCACTGCACTGGCTAACGGTTCACCTTTGAATCCAGTTCAAAATACTTCTGTATGTCTACAAAATCACTGAACAGATTCCCCCCCCCCCCCCCCCATCTCTCTGGTCTGCTACAACCGTATGTCCCACCACGCTCCCTGAGGTCAGCGGACCAGTTGCTCCTCACAGTACCAGGAACTCGTCTTAAGCGCAGATGTGACAGGGCCTTCTCTGTAGCAGGACCAAGACTTTGGAACGAGTTACCTCTGCTCGTCAGACAGGCCCCCTCCCTCTCGGTTTTCAAGACCCGTTTAAAAACCCACTACTATTCAGTAGCTTTCAACACCAGATGATCTGTGTTTTGAACCTGTATGCTTCACACTGGTTAGTCGTCATTATCTGCATCGTTTTTATGTCTATATTTCTGATTTACTTCATTTTGTATTTTGCTTTGTGCGTTACCTGTTGTTCTGTCTGTACAGCACTTTGGTTGGCCTTTTAGCTGTTTTAAGTGCTTTATAAATAAAGTGGTATGGTATGGTATCCATCTATCCATGATGTTTACTAGCCTCTTCCTTAAGTTTTAAATACATGTTGGCATTTTATCTGCCAAATGTATCCACAGTACATTGCTAAGATTACAATATTTCAGACTTTCAATCTTTAAAAACATTGAATCATTGGAATCAAGAGATGATTTCCAGTTTTAAGTCAGTAGAAAAATCCAGTTCTTTTAAATCTGTTGTGCCAATCTGCAAATGCTAATTAAAATGTTTGTAGCTGTATAACCACTTGTAGGATAAACTATTAAACTGCAAGTGTTTTAATTTGGGCAACCATATTGACTTTAGGCACCTTCTGTGTGAACAAAGTTGTGTTTGGACAACTTTACTTTGCAGGGGCAGAAATTTATTTTGATTCCTGTCTTCCCGTTTAGAACTCCAGATGCGGCTAAAAGACCCTTTTTCTTTGAAAGCCGCCGAAATGACAAAGCGGACTAATAAACCAAGGAAACCTCGAGATGAGGAGTCATCAGATGAAGTCAGTGGTAAGTCAGAAGTGCTGTTCAAGATACAAGATTTAGAAAGTTTGATATGTCGGTCTCGATGAAGTTTAGTCCTAATGAACATCAAATAATCGTAGTTTTACGACTACCTGGCTAATGAGCAGTTGTTTTTAAAGGAAATGACCAGTGTTAGTTTTTTAAACAAAGTTCAGAAGGATTTGTTGTCATTCTTGTTTTTAGTAAAGAACAGAGTTTGATTGTTTTGAGCTTCTGCAGTGTTCTGGAAAAAAAAAAATCTGATGTAACCTTGTAGTATTACTCTAAAATACCCAATGATGCCATCAAATAAACATAAAAGTTGTTTTAGAACAATATAAGGTAAATGTTTGTGCAGGCAGTTTAGTTGATAGTCATGCGTGGGCACGATTTCTACTGAGAAAATATTTAGACTTTTATATATACTGCTGATAAACTTTAGAGAAACTATATAGTTAAATCCTTGTCTTTTCTTTTGGAAAGGTAAATAAAATGTAGTCCTGAGCTCTGTGCACCTTTTGGTCTCACATTTTGGTACGCAAAGCTTACATCGTATTGTTTCACAAAATTTACCATATTATGACGCTACATTCTTTTTCTGCAGATGTATTGGCACTATTTGATTTGTACATCACCACTTCATTGTTTATTTTATTTCACATGTTTTTGATTTATTTTAATTACAAGCACTGTTATGATTGGACATCTGTCCTACTTGTTGTCAGGAATTTTGATTTGTTGGACACACAAAGTATTTTGTTTATCTATAATTTAACTATTAAAGCTGCCATTAATTTTTAAAAAGGTTTTGAGAAACAAATGGCTGCTACCAGCCCCAGCTATTGTGATCTGTTGGTATAACACACAGAAATTTAACTACTACTGTAAATGTAGCTGCTGATCGGTTTCATGTTGCTGCTGATCTGTTTCATGTTGCTGCTGATCGGTTTCATGTTGCTGCTGATCTGTTTCATGTTGCTGCTGATCTGTTTCATGTTGCTGTGTTCATGCATGCTCATCTGCTCACACAGACTCATGTCCGTGCTGCTGTTCGGCGTATTGTGTTCATTGTTTTTATGCTATTAGTGCTTAGTGTATATTTAGTTTATGTTTTTCTTAGTTCATATCTTAGATCTTATTACTGTTTCTCTTTTACATTTTACTGTTGGATGTAACTGGGACCCTGTGTACATAATTTCGTCCCACCACATGTATCACATGAGGTGGGACGACAGTAAAGAATCTCTGAATCTGAAATCCAATTACAGTAGTCCCTCATTTATCGCAGGGGATCTGTACCCCAAAGACCCGCAATAAGTGAAAAACCGCAAAGTAGGAATAGTAGTAAGTAGTAGTTTATTTTAGTATATATATATATATATGTATATATATATGTATATATGCTTTTTAAACTCTTTCCACTCTTGTAATATTCTAAACAAAGTTTCTAAACGCTCTAAAAGAGCACAGAATGTCATGATTTCTGCTCTCTGCCAGCGCTCTTGGCCACGCCCACTTCTCGTAGATATAACATGCTGCTGCAGAAGGAAGCTTCTCCCGCAGCTGTGGCCTGCACACAAGTGCAGCAGGTGCTAAATAATTTAAAATAATTTATTTTAAATAAAAATTCCATGCCGATTGTGCGGTTCATGCATCATTCACCCAATTGTGTGTCATGTCCGATCTTATTTTGAAAAACCATGATAGAGCAAGTCCGTGAAAAAAGAACGGTGAAGTAGCGAGGGACCACTGTAATTATTTTTACCTTTTTTAGGCTTACTTTTGATTTATGTGCATTCAGGCCATCAGTTGATTCTGATGTTATTTACCCTTTATTAAATGAAATCAGATTATTTTGAAAACAGGATTGGGTTTGAATTTAACATTTGACCTCCAGCAATTATATTAAAAAAAGTTTGATGTATGTACTCAAATTTTGTGAATATATATATAAAAAAAATTATGGTAGTGGATCAAATAAACTTTGTGTTTAGCAGCTCAGCATTGCCTTTAACTGAATGGTGGGGTTGCATTTTTTATTTTTCATTTGTTTTGTAAATGCATAGGGTTGTAATATTCCTCACGCAGTTGAATGTTCAGGTATCAGTGGTTTGTGAAATAAGTTGGAACTGTTATTCAGGACTGACGTGTCAGCACGTGAATAAAGCTGTGGACCTGAGCTCGGTGAAGAAGTCAGTCCTATCGAGCGTGTGGTTGGTCTGTTCCGAGTGTCTGAAGGAGAGGACGATGATCGACGGAGAGCCAGCAGCGTCCCACGACATCCTCGTGTGCTTAAAGTGTGGTTTTCAGGTAAAAACATGCTTTTCTGCTGAGTATCAGGTCAAATTTGACAGATGGACCAGGCTTCAGGGCTGTATTTTAATGTTATTTAAAATGCTCAAACTGTGAGGGGCAGCCATTAACCAACGGTTAACCATTAACCACCACATGATCAGTATAATTTAGTGATGTGTTCAAACTTGACCGTTCATTCTTTTGTGAAAGACTTTCCACTGAAATGTGACAGAAGATCAAAAGTCAAGCAACAAAATGTTTGCACAGCAAAGCTGTTAAAACTTGATTGCTGAATCATTAACATTAATAGAGAAAACAAACTGAACACTTTCACCTTTTACACTTTTTGTTTTGTTAATCACAAAATCTAAATCTGAAGAGATTATAAGGGGGGAAATCATATTTTCTAAAGGATTCAAATAGTTTTTCTTGATATATTATTTTACTTTATTTAACTAGGTGAGTCACGTTGAGATTACAAGATCTATTTTTCAAGGGAGCCCTGGCCAAGAAGGCAACAGCACCAGTTCCAGAAACATACAAACCACTAAAACAATAATAATAATAAAACATAATATAATATAATTCAATATACATCAGTATCAAAGAAACATGCAAGCATAGCATATTAGGCTCAAAAGGGAAGCAGCTATAAACTCTAAACAAGTCTTCTTTCAAATCCTTGACCTTCTTTTTAATAGAGATACAGCCTCTGATGTTAGATGGACCTATGCGAACTGAGTCTCATTGTATTTCACGAGTATGAGAGAATGTTTTGAACTGAAGATGTGTGAACACACTGTGTTGTAGGGCTGTAACCAGTCAGGGGTCCAGCATGCTGTCAGGCACCACCAAGCCTTCCATCCAGAGTCGCACTGCATCACCATCAGCCTGAGCACGTGGAAGGCCTGGTGAGAGACCCAACTCTCTAAAACGCTGATAGAACTCTGATTCTTTTTGTCTTATTACTCAATAATTAATACTTTTTCCACTTTAATATTTTCTGCCTCAAACAAAAAAATTTGTAGGTAAATCGTGGCACATTTAAGTGTTTATTCCCATTATTTACTAGGACTATTAACAAACAAAAGCCTGTCTGTGCCTACCCGTTGTCATGTGTCAATCTAACAGGTGCTTTGAATGTAACGAGGAGCTGTCGACTCACTGCAACAAGAAGGCTCTGGCTCAGACTCTCGACTTTTTACAGAAGCACTCTGTCAAGGCAACGTCAGGTAAGATGGAATATGCTGAGGGACTCTGATGATTCACTTTCACTAAACCAAAACCTACAAGTTTATTCGATTCACTTTTAGCCAGCCTGTAGTCTGCTCAGTTTAACATTCAGTATTTTCTTCTCTTACATATTCTGTTGATATGTTGCATATGCAAATCTTCATGTCATGGTAAAATATTTGCTAATTCAATGAACACCATTGGATCTGTTTTTATGTTGGAACGATGTCAGTCAAACTAAACAAGGCAGAGTGAGTTTTGTCGTACACATTTAACGGGAGGGGGGCAGGTCTGAGACGAGTTCACTAAATCTCCTGTTCTTCTTCAGTTGAGTTGATGTGTGATGTTAAGAATTAAAGTTAAAATTCTTAAAACGGGCTTGGCTGTGAAACACCTGCTCCCTCTTGTGGCAGGTATTACCTCAGCTTCAGAAGCATCATTCCATGTTTTAGCAAATCACCAACTCAAATTAGGAAGTAAACTTTGTTTATTCTACTTTACATGTAAAATGTGGATTTCAAACCTGTAGTTGACCAACAGAGTCTGAGTAGTATCACTGAAGGTTACTTGTATTCAATAGCCGTACCTAATATTTTCAACATGATGTCCTTTTCACCTCATTCAAGCCACCTGAGTTCTCTGCTCTCTGTCAGTCAACCATATAAATGCCCCCCTCCCCCCACCGTTCCTCTCATGTACTTGCATATGCCTTCTGTTCTTTCCTCTCGGTGCGTCTCCTGCTGTTTGTTGGCATGCTGAGAGCCCTCCTAACAGACTGCAGCGTATCAGAGTGGTGGGCATCAACGGTTTTGGTCTCACTGGTTGTCTGAGCTCACCCCACTGGCCGGTGCCCAGTCGCCAGTGGCCAGAGGCCAGTCACCCAGGCCCTGTCAAGCTGGTCCCCCCATGCTTGCCAAAGCTAAAGAATCGCAGCACTGCTTCTGCAGCGATCCCTCACCCTCACCCCCACCTTGCACCACGCATGACTGCACATAGAGGAATTAAGCGCTTGAGCGATGCTTCCCGCCTGGGTTCCCTGAAGAACAAGAGCAGCTGCGTGAGGTTTAGCCTCTGCTCTGTCGTTCTTTGTTTTTTTCCCATCTCTATCTGTTTCTGTCTGTGGCGCTCTTAGTTGAGCTGCTGTATGTCTCACCACCTCGGGGCCTGTGCGCTGCACTAGTGGGAGTCAGGGTCCTCAACAAGTCAGATCGACTGGATTCTAACAGCTGGAGTGCTCCAACCCTCAGTGGGCGCGCACGTATGCACAGGAAGGAATAACAGAAAAGGTTGCAAATAACTTGAAATATGTCCCCTTTTCTTCCAGTGTGTGGGCTACACTTGGCTTTTACAAATGAGAATAAGCTCGTTTGGATCCTTACTGGACAGGGCTCCCAGTAAAGCAGTGTGTTAAAATTAGAAACATCTTGTCTAAAAATGATGCAGAAAAACTGGTCCATGTATTTGTCACGTCTAGACTGAACTATTGCAATGGTTTATGATCTGGGTGTCCAAATACGTCTTTAAGACATCTTCAGTTGATGTAAAATGCTGCTGCCAGAGTCTTAACTGGAGTTAATGGGAGAGATCATATCTCTCCAGTTTTAGTTTCTCTCCACTGGCTCCCTGTCAAATCCAGAATAGAACTCAAAATCTTACTTCTAACCTACAAAGCTCTCAACAACCTAGCTCCATCTTATGTTACAGATCTAATTGTTCCATATTTTCCTAACAGAGCACTTCGCTCTCAGACTGCAGGTTTACTTGTGGTTCCTAGAGTTTCCAGAAGCAGAATGGGAGGAAGATCTTTCAGTTATCAGGCTCCTCTCTTGTGGAACCAACTTCCAGTTTCTGTCCGTGAGGCTGACACATTATCCAGTTTTAAGACTTTCCTACTTGATAAATCCTATAGTTAGTCTATTTGCCATTGTGTGTGTATACTTTCTTCTTCTTGTCCTCTCAAACCCAGCCCGTCGAAGCAGATGGCTGCTTGTCCTGAGCCTGGTTCTGTTGGGTATTTGTTCCTCGTGAGGGAGTTTTTCCACCGTTGCCTCAGTGCCTGCTCAGGATGGGAGACTGTGATGGAGTTAGACTCAAAGCAGTCTGCTCCTCAGATAAATAATGTTATTAACTGACTTTTTATGTATATGAATGTTTCTGTTCAGTGTCCTGATATAACTTCTGTTGTGACTTGGTGCTATATAAATGAACTGAATTGAAAGTAAAACAAATTCAAATTATTTGGGTAGTTATCCAACAAAGTTAAGTCAGGTCATCTGGACAGTTTATTGTTTTTGCCGAGATGTTTCGTTCTGCATCCAAAGGACTTCATCAGTCCGAGGAACCACAACAAACTCAGTCCTACAAGCAGCACACCCACATAGTGGACCAACCAGTTTGCTGGTGATAAGATGGTATCTGGGGCCTGGATTATTGAGCATGAACTTTGATGTTTTGAACCACTTTGGCTATGGCTGCCTCAGAGGAGTCGACGGGGGAGAGGGCGGGTCCCAGAAAACATCTTATCACCAGCAAACTGGTTGGACCACTATGGGAGTGTGCTGCATGTGGGACTCAGTTTGTTGTGGCTCTTCGGACTGATGAAGTCCTTTGGATGAAGAATGAAACATCTCAGCAAAAAAATAAACTGTCCAGATGACCTGACTGAACTTTGTTGGATTTGTTTTACCTGGATTATTGAGCATGAACTTTGATGTTTTGGTAGTTTTTTAAGTTTACAGCCACTGGGGCTTTTTTTTAAATTATTTTTACAAAACCTCAGATAGAAAAATTAACACAGTGAAAGGACTTTTTCCATTTAAACAATCCCCCCCCCCCCCCCCCCCCCCCGTCAGTTTCAAACTGAAATCATCTTTTGCTGAGAAGGGGAGTTATGGGTGTTTTGGTCAAATCTTATTTATGAGATTAGCTACAATCCCATGCAGCACAGCGTGAATCAGGGTGATGTGTTAGCGCTCTGAGGATAAGTGAAGATGACGCAACACAATCAACCTAACATCTGTAAATATGAGTTTGAGTTATAGCCATGCTTGTGTTGGGTGGTGTTTAATAGCTGTGACGGTCAGCCATCTTGAATTGGGTTCACTCCAGAAGTTACTCACTTGTACATCCAATGAATACTTAGAGAGTTTTATTAAAATTTGTTTACTTGTTGATGAGATATTTTGCTAACAGTACAATAAACTCAACCCTTCAATGGTGTGTTAACAAAATGACACGATTTCACCATTTTTATATCTCAAATTTCGCGTTCGTTCAGATATGTGGTATCGTTACCACAAATTGCTTGTTTATAAATCAGTGCTTGGCAGTTTATTTTTTAGAAGCTACGCATGGATTTAAAACATGAAGTGTGCTTGAATAGTTGGTATGTCTTCTGTGTTTGTGGTGGAACCCTGTATTTTGTGAGGCCTGACGAGGAGGGAAGAGACTACCGGTACCTACACCGTTTTTTACACGGTTCCTCTAAAACTCACCCGCCTCCTTTCCTGTCAGTCTGTTGTCCCTCACCGGTCAGCAGATAAGTGAAGAGGCATCCAGCCGGCGTTGCAGCAAAGTAGATATTTGTAAGAGCTTGTAAAAATTGCATTTCATTGTGAAGGCCAGGTTTTCTTAAGAAGCTGCTGTTGTGTTGTGTTTTCCTAAAGACCTGAAGCACAAAGGAGCCAGGGCAAGGATCCCCCCCCAGAATTTATAATATTTTTTACAACAATACCTCAGGGGAAAAAAGAAAGTCGATTAACTGTGCTCTCTTTCACCATGAAGGCCTTCAGCTCAAGTGCCAGAGTCTCAGTAAACAGCACATTGACCTCAGAGCGCCTGGCTGCAGCTTGTTACACAGCTGGGGGGCTTTGTTGACTAAATTAAAATGATGGTGGCGCTGAAAGGACATCACGTCTTGTTTCGCATTGAAATACAATAATACATTTTTGTTTTTAGTTGTTATTGTTATTTATATAATTGTGGTGCATGTGTTTCTTTATCCTGTTCTTTTAACATATTTCTGCAGCTCTGATCAAATCAGAATATTATCAGATAACATCTTACAGTTAGACCACCAGTGCTCAGTTTGAGTTAAGTCTTAGCCTTTTGTGTGGGGATTATGGTTTTATTTGTTCTCTTGGTTCATTTTTGAATTATGATAAAGTTAAAACAGTATTTGTGGTGGATTTGGGGGGTGACTGGACTTTGTTGCAAGTTTCCCATAATGCCTTTCTGTAACTTTTTAATTCCTGTCTGGAAATAAAGCATTATTTTCAAACAGTTTAACAATATTCAGACTTAACTGTTATCTTTACATATTGTTTGCATATAATTTCAAGAAAATACTCAAATTTGTCATTGTACAGTACTGCCCCCCCTCAAAAAAAAATGTACGCAGAAAAATGATCAATGTGGAGCATGGTTAAAATTTTCCAACTTCAAGAGCAAATCCTACAAGTATTTTTACAGCAAGTATCTCATTCTTAATAAGATGTCTTAGAGAAAAGTAAGACGTTCTTCAGGTGATGGAGTGCTTTGTTGCGTCAGATGTGTGTGTCCATGCTCATGTGCTGCGACAGAGGAAGGAACGCATTAAAACTGAGCCAGAGTTCAGCAATCGGTGGAAACCGTCAGATCAGGGATTACAATCATTTATTTATTTCACATTTGCACAAAATATATTCTAGTATTATTGAGGATTTATATTTCGTTTGTAGCATCGCTGTTGTTCGTTGCATTTTTGGAGTCGACCCATTACAAGATGGCCGCCACAGCTAAGTGATTTTATCAAATAGAAAAGTGTATAATTCAACCAACTTTCCAGATAATCAGCTAAAATGTCTGTTTGTATCTGAGAGGCATTCTCAACCCAAACTCACTGATCAAACTATTTTTTTTAACTTTGTGATTAACTACTTGGAGGAGTGGTGGTGCAGAGGTTAGAGAAGGTAGGACTGTTATAGGAAGGTTGCCAGTTCAATCCCCCGGACCAACAACA